TCGCAGTTCAAAGAAAAAAGTGAGCAGCTGGTTTAGACCATCTGGAAAGGGACATAAAATGGTCTCTTTCTTCCCCAGTCAATCTATGAAATTTTCATTAATTGTAGGAACATCTTCCAGCATTAACCAACATAACATTGTTAAAAATGGAAGTCTTAATAAATCATCAAACCTCACACCTTAGGAAAACAAGGTAGGTACAGGCTGGTGGGTTCTTTCCTCACCTGCATTACAGGGTGGCATAATTAAAATTTTAGGTTGGTGTTTTCAAAGCAACTTAAATTAGTGGGAATTAGATTCCTGGACTCCTTTGAAGGTCCCAGGGAGGAATGTGGAAAGGACAGTTCCCCTGACTGCAGAGGAATCTCCTTTTGTATTGCTTTCAGGAGCCACATTTGGCTTAAAAACATACAGAGAGAGCGTTGTCCCCACGGCTGTGTTACTTGGATGCCTTTCTCCTGCTGGTGGGTGCCAGCTTTCACGCTGCAGCTCTGCGCAGGGCCCCTGCAGGGCGCAGGATTCGGCCCAGGAGGACAGCCAGCGCCCCAGCTCGCCCCCCGGACAGAGCGGGGAACCGGCGCTGCCGCGCTGCGCTTCAGCTGTCGGACTCGGCTCGCTGCGTGGAAGGGGCAAGGTGGCACCGTTAGCAGCCTGAACCCTGCCACCCGTCTGGGGCAGCACGAATTCAAACGGTTGCTTTCCCCTGCGGAAGGGGAGCGGGGTATGATCCGCTGACCTAAATAGCGCTCCCAGTTGTGCATGTGCAATAAGCCGGGAGAACATTCAGCTAAAGCAAAGGCTTGACAACCTGGGGCAGGGCTAAGGGGCAGGGCTAAGGGAACGTAAAATCCCCGAGATGAACCAGACTGACCGCAGCACTTGGGGGGATTCTCACGGGGCAACGTTTTGGGAACCCAGGTTGCTTAGAGCTTAAATGAGAAATACCTCTGTGCAGTGCCCAAGCCCACGAAACAACCCCCCACGCAGGGGAAAACGTGACACAGCCTGAGCAGACATCCGAGCCAAGGAACATGCCAGCTCCGGCGGTGTAAGCACCACTCAGCAGAAATCCCAGTTTCAGATGCCCTTATCTCGAGGCCCCCGAGAGATCCTGCAAACTGATATTCCTGTTGAATAAATGGATGAGTTCCTTGAAATTCAGGCAGGTGGTTTGATAATCCAGGGATGTGACAGCTGCCACAGGGAAGTCAAACTAAACAGGAGCCGTGATAGAGAGCTCGAGGGCACTGAAGTTACCTGATGATTTTCACAAAATGATGACCTGCGAGCTGCTACTGCTTCTCACTGCCTCCTTGCATTTCAGATTTGTCAGCTATGTCTGTTCCTATGAAAGGCAAAATGGAGAGAGTTCATCTTAATCTTATTGTCCTGGGAGAATAACTTGCCTAAAATTCAAATCAGAGTTCTGGGGGTTTTCCAATCCAAGGGTTTCCTAGACACAGCTCTTTCCATCGTTCTGCCTTTGTTCCTCGTTCCTGGGACTGCCTAAATTTACTGACTTTTCACTTTGTATCAGCATGACTTCAAAGTAGGTGAAACACTGGAACCTAGAAAAATCCCTGCTCCTCTGAAGCGCTTATACATCCAGGGAAGTCAACGTGACTGTAATAACCACCAGAGCACTGCCTTCTCCCCTGCGAAGGAGCGCTGTGCGTCACACACACCGGTGACACCAGCTCGGCAGCCGCAGGATCGCTTTGCAGATGGAGAAACCGAGTCACAGCGATCTGAATGCGACTCGCTCACGTTAGAGAGCAAGCGAGCAGCAGGAGGGAGCCCGCTCCGCACATGCGGCGATGCAAGGCGGTCGGACACCGATGTGGTCGACATGCTGAGCCCTGGCCACGCTTCTTAACGCTCGCTCGCAGGCCGAGCTCCCGGTGCGCTCGGGCCGGCCGCAGGGCAGCAGCACCCTCTCCCCGAGAGGCTTGCTAAGGGCAGTGAAGACCGCGTGCAAACGTGCTGGCAGCGAAGCCTAATCCTGGCATGGGCCAGGCAGACCTGCCCCAGGGAGGCCACTGTGCCTCAGTGTCTGCAAAGGGATGCCTAGGAACATGTGCATGCAGATATTTGATTCTTGAGCTATTCAGAGAGGGAGATTTAGTGAATTGCTCGGCCTGGGTTATGCTAAATATTTACTAGTCTCCAGAAGCACGCACAAATCCAGGGCTGGTAGTTAGCGCTATCTCCACCAGCACCAACAGAGTCTCCTGCAGTGCTTGTCGGCTGTGTTTTCCCAAGCTGCAGGCCCTGGCTGACGAGACAAACACTGCTGGCTCCAGGCTTGTTTTCCACTGAAGGACAGACACAGATACTTGAAATACTTTCCTAATCTCATTTTCCCATGTAAGCAACTGCTGTAGGGATGTTACTCCACGGCAGCAGCGGGGTGGGAGACGACGTGTGGGATGGCCAGGGAAGCACGCAGGCAGAGAGCATCCCCAGGCCTCCCCAGCCCCTCGCCTCGCGCCGGGGCCGGGCCGGGCCGGGGCACGCGTGCTGCCTGCAGCCCCGGCGGCCACCCAGGTCTGCCCCGGGCCGGATCTGCCACTCCGTTTCCTGAGCACCACATCCTTGTTCAGAAGCGCGCTTGGGTCCTCCCCCTGGCCACAGGGGCCCTGCTGATTTGGGTAATTAGGATAATTCCTTCCCTGGGCAGAAAGCAAAACAAAAAAGAAAAAAAAAAGCAGGCCATTAAACTGCGTTTCAAACAGAAACTCCTTGTGGTCTGAGAAGGTCTCCCAGCCCTCCCCAAAACCTTGGCTGAAGTGCCAGATTTCCAAAGTTATTTCTGTGTTGAAGGACTACTAGACTGATTTAAAATTGCCTAAATTGACTGCATGCTAGGAACTGCAGGTGAATCTGGTGCGGTGATTTTGGAAACACTGTTGGCACCACAGTCAGCCACCATGTCCCCCTCGGTACCTACATGAGCCCGTGAGCATCTGGATACGGCTGGCCAGCTCGGGCGGCCTCGTTCGGGGCTGCGGAGCCTGCAAACGCCTCTGCTGTCTTCAGGGTCTGATCTCACAGGGCTGCCCAAAGGCCGCGAACAGCAAATTCACTGCAAACTAATCCAAGCAGGTGATAGGAACTGGATGTCCTCTTCCCTTAGGTAGATCTCAAAATAAAATAAATAAAAATAATTTTTTTTTATGTCTATAGTTAAAATAGTGCAGACTTGCTTCTTTAGTATTATACCTAAATCGGTTTTCATGTATTGCCAGTTTTCAGAAGCGGTGCCATAAATCGAGACAAGGAAATCGTTCGCTCCAGACCTGAAAT